AACCTTACGTCGCAACACCAGCAACACGTGCCGCCCGCGATCACACGAAGCAACCAATCGCTGCAATTTGCCATCGTCATCATAAAATTTTATTTTTCTTGCACTATTTATAAACGTGTTTTTATGCATTTAAATCTCCTTAAGAATAGTAATGCACGTTTCTGAAACAATTTATTTCCAAAAAAAAAAAAAACGATCGATTTCAAACCAGAACCAAGTCTTTCGGTGTCATCATCACCGGCACGAGGTATCACGTGAAAATTTTGCGTCCCTGATTAAATGCAGCCGCTTCAAACGCATTCAAATTGCTCCGAGTTGCTTGCTTATTCCGAGCCGCACCCGATCTCAGCAATTCGTGTCGATCTAGGGAAAACTAGAAAACAACCCGCCATTAACACCAAAATTGCTGAGAAAGATGATAGATCTGAAGGGGGCCTCACGCACTCACCGCACTCATGGCCCTCACATACCTCATGCGCTCACCGCCCTCACGGTCCTCACGCCTCTCATGCCACTCACGCACTCATAGCCCTCACGCACTCACCGCCCTCACACAACTCACGCACTCATGGCCCTCACGCCACTCACCGCCCTCACGCACTCATGGCCCTCACGGCCCTCACGGCCCTCATGACCCTCACCGCCCTCACGGACCTCACGGCCCTCACCGCCCTCACTCACCCTCACACTCATGAATTTTCCTGGTTCAGAAACTCACTCACCCTCACCTCACCTCTGAAGATGAGGGTGAGTGAGGGTGAGTGAGGGCCCTCATGAGTGAGGTTTGCCGAGGTATGCTTGTTAGCCGCGCGTGCTAAAAGCGCGAGATAGTTGCTTCGGAGGAAGCCTCGGCGGCTGCATGAGCGCTCGTGCAGCGAGTGCTCCAGTCAAGGCAGTAAAGGCTCGCGCTAGCACAGCGTTCGCGGTTAGTCCATGCTAAGGTAAGACGAAATATAGTGAGAGAGCAGCAGTACGCCCGGCCCGGCCCGGTGTGGCTATTTAGATTTTTTTTTTTTTTCGTGAAGCTGCAAGTCTCGATTGAAACGAGTGCCAGATTGCATGAATGATGTGACATATCTGTGTAGAATAAAAGCACATGATTCTTTCTGCAAAAAGCTCACTCAGCAGCAGGCTGCGCGTTAAAGCTCCATTCTGCTGGCAGTATGAGCGAATTGTTGTTTTCTTGTTCCCGTAACTGTTGCCCCGTTTCTATTACCACTGTATTTATAGTTTGATATAGCTAGGCCGTATGATTTCTGGTTTTAACCGATGCTTGAGCACGCGCGAGCTGTGTCATTTATTCATCTGTGAAGGACAATATAAAATCGGATTCCGCGTGCATAACTTCAGCAATATAAACTTCATTGTTCACAAAAAACAGACCAAGGGAGTCGTATAGTTCACAAGCGGAGTACCTTTCGGGAAAGAGGCTTCCGCGAAAGCCTCAATATATTCTCTAGTGGGCTGTTTAGGTCACCAGCCCAGTTTGCCAAAAAAGGTCTGAGGAGTTTTCTGAGAAAGAGCTCGCAGAGCTCTTCGCTGTGGTAGGGATCTCGGCAGTTAACACACAACATCAGCGGGCAGTCCATAAGGTGTGGAAGCACAGCGCTCGAGAGCACCTTGGAAGTCCTTCCACAACCACGAATCTCTGCCGACTGTAGAGCCCCCTCGACAAAGGTGCAGACGAGCTTGCACAGCCAGACAGCTTCAGGTCGTGGATAGCCGAGTCCTCCTTGGTCAAGGCTAAACATGGACTGATATGCTCAGTCATGTGATGCATTTCCCTTAAGTTGCGCTTGCATTCAGAACATGTCACCTGCTAAGTTTAGCGGGTTCTACACATTAGCCTTCCTTGCTTTCACTGAGAAATTCTTACTGCTTTGCTAGGTTGAATGTTTCAACTAATTACTTTGAAATTACGCCAATTTCTACAAATAAAAATGGTCACCTTTTGATCGCAAACGAAGGCCAAGTAGCCAGCCATGTAAGTCAGCGGTGCGAACTCAAGTTCGGTAGAGACTTCATCGTACTTCATTAACTGCAGGATTTCTTGTTTCACAAGTGGAATTGGCACAATTCATCGCCGTCTGGCACTCAGAACTAGAACGCGCATTTACATTTCCGGCAGCTTCCAAAATGCCAACACAAACCCCACACACACGAGCGCAAAGTGCACACGCGCCTGAAAACAGCTAATTCTCTCACTTAAAAACATGTGTTTTCCGGGTAATCGCTTCAGCTGGAGCACTGCATAAAATCCACAACAAAATGTCCATTGGGGTATTTCTTGGGGCTGTCAACGGAAAAGGCCCTTAAACCTGCCGTCGTGTTTACTCGAGCGGTTCCGAAGAGAATGGAGAAGCGCTGGCTTTCCGCCCAATATGGGAATGGCTTCCTTGAAAACTGATAGGGAAGAGGGAGTGGCGACCGGCTGGGTGTAAAAGCGACAGCACGGACATATCTGACAAAGACGAAGGGAGAGGGCAGACACAGCCCAGACTGAATACTCGGAGACATGTCGCATGACCACCGACACTCGCAGATGGTCCTCACAAGAGAAGATTGAGCCAAAGTCGGTGAAACAGACATTGTTTGCCTCCCCTACCACCGCAGGCGCCGCTTCCTTTATCTCCCGGTTTCGCGCTCAGTCGTCTATTGTCCGTCGTGGGCAAAACCAGGCAATTTTTTGTTTGTTCAACGTTTCTTTTTTTTTTTTTTGTCAGCGAGGAGTTTTAATTTATGTAGTCAAAAAAGTAACTGTAATGGCCTAAACAGTTAGTTACCCAATAAAAAAAAGTAACAGTGTTACAGTTACCAGTATTAAAAAGTAACGCATTAGAGGTAAAAGTTACCGAAAAAAGTAACTAATTACCGGTAACGTGTTACTAGTTACTGCCCAAGACTGGCAGTAACCCTCCTAATCCACTTTAATGTAAAACATATAACACATAAAACAAGCATCGGAACAAAGACCAAGTAAAAGGCCGACTTACACGTAAAAATGCAGTATAAAAAGACAAGCGTCGGAGCAAAGCGCAAGAGAAGGGAGAAGTGAATCTCTCTTTGTTTTAATACCGAAGCAAACCCAGATTTCGCACTTCAAATAAGTGCCCACGAATGAACATGGAAGGAAGCAAGGTTGGCCCGCCTGCTAAACAACGCTCCTCTAACTATAAGAAAACAATAACTGATCATCTTTCGGTGGCGCAAGAGTCAACGAGTATCAGAGCTCTGCGAATTACGAGTCGTCCCCCGCTCCCAGATCTCGGTCTGTGCGCGTGTGTATTCTCCATCCATGCCATTTCTTTTGCTTGGCGCTTGGTTTCTTGTTTCGCTCGCTGTCGTGCAACGCCAGTAAAGCCCGTCGCCTGTGCGAAAGGCGCCATCCCCCCCCCTCCCCCCTCTGCTCTTTGCTTTGACGCTTGTTTTTTGTATTGCATTTTTTGCGCATAAGTGTTAGAGCTCCATGCGGGTTGGCAGTTTCTCGCTCATTTCTGAGCACCTGGCTCGCTGACTGACTCAATTTCGCCAACCATAAACACTAAAAAAAAAAAAAAAAAAAAAAAAAAAAAAAAAAAAAAAGAAATGGGCCCATTTCAGGCAAAATGCACCCAATTCCATTCCCCATCCCATTCCGGGGTCGCGAAAATTCGGAATGATTCCGGGAATCATTTCAACTCCGAAGTGGCAACTCCGCAACACTGGCGGGGGGGGGGGGGGGGGGGGGGGTTCACGGAGGGCTACCGCCCCGTGTGCCACTGACCCTAGTGACGCCACTGGTCGTTAATATAGGCTAGATTAGTTTAGATTTTAGAAAAAAAAAGCTTAATTTATTTTACACATCTCGGCACCTGCAGCAGTGGAATACTAAAACTAAGGTGGGAATATAAGGCAGATCCGCTTGACCTGCCTCTTGACAGCACCTCCTAAAAATATTACGCCGCTGCAAATGGGAACGCAATTACTCGCCGCGCGCACAATGAAATTCATGCTTAGATAAAGACCGTAGTAAAAGCGAACTCGCTGCTGAAAGTTGCATGTTGCAAAGGCTTCTTGAGAGGCGGACGCTGCCTTGTTAATAAAGTTTGTTATGTTACATCATGCAAAAAGTGGAGATTGACTGGCGGAGCGATATTAAATCGTTTGATTGGCTTACGTTACAGATTTCTGGCCTTTTTATGGCTCGAGCACTTGCGCATATTTAGAGCTCATTGCACGCTGCTCTTTTCGAATGAATGCAGTGAAGGAAAATATTCAGATTTCAATTCCTGTATTATCTAGCACGTTGGTTTTGATTAAATTGCTAATATTCCTAGTCTCAAAATGCCTAACGAAATGCTTCTGCTTCCTAAGCCTCCTCGCAATAGATCATATGCATACCACAAGGGAAAAAACAAAAGAAAAAGAGTCTTGCAGGATGCAGATCAGCAAGATGTTTCCACGCACCCGCTCTGCTCACCGCGTTATAGTCATCCACGCTGCCCATTTGTCCAGCCTCAATTCAATACGAAGCAGGGCAACAAGACTACATTGTAGTAAGCAGTTCCTATACGCCCCACCCCAGTTAGATACGACGGTGACAGTGGAAGCGCCAGTGACAGGTGTACTGAACACTGATGCAATCATAAACAATACAACTCATTTTGTTTCATACCCAACAAACTTTCATAAAATAATGTATGTTTCTTTCTTCATAACTGATTTAGGTTCATCAGGGAACTCATGTAACAAGTCCTTGCTTACCATGCTCTCAAAAATTGACTGAACAAAATGGTCGGTTTTCCACAAAAAAAGATAACATTCCACGAATCAAAATTTTCAGTAGGCCATGTGATAGCAGAGTCAGAACATCCATCCGAGTCAGAACATCCATCCGAGTAAAAACGACCAAGGTGTCAATAGATCCATCGAGACAGAACAACCACAAATGGATGTTTTGACGTGTTGGATGCTGGGACTTAGAATCCCCTTAGCGCAGCCCTCCACAAAGAAAATGCCAATTGTCAAAATCTCTCTTTATTTGGTTTTCTAACTTTTTTTTTTTTTCTCGACCCCTGGGGATACACGTGGTACAAAGACTAAAGAATCGAGAAAGTACGAGATGGGGCCCAAAGGGAAGCCGGACAGAGGCAGAAGTGCTGTAGGCTCCTACTGGGGCAAGCTGAGCAGCGTGCTCTGCCCCGTCGGAAGGTACACCACATTCCTGGACCGCGACAACTGGTAGGAAATATCCTCGGCAGCCTCGAGGCGCCGAAGTTCCACAAGGGCGTCCCCGGCCTCGCCAAACGCCTTGGCCAGCAGAGCCGCCGCCTGCGAGTCCCCCTCCGCCGTGATCACAGCAGCCTTCTTCTGTTGCTCCGCCTGCAAGTAGTCAACACAACCCCAAAGATATTAGAAATAGCTATTGCTGTCCTCTGAGCACCTAACATTGGCTAGTGTCGGCCAGTTTAGAAAATACTAAACATCTGCATAATAGAGCAATTCCATCACACTCTCCCTCGGCATGACAAATGGTCGCAAACTATGCTCGGCATGCAACAAACTATAGGTGGAGCCACTCATTTTCCAGAATGGCGGTTATAGTGAGGGTCGGAGATGAGTGCCGCTGCTGAGCCAGTCTAGTGTGCTGGCTTCAGTGAGCGACATAAATTATTTCTGGTAATACGAGGAAGCTAGGGTGTTATCAGCGCAGGTCACCTCTTTATCCTGAAAACAAAAACGGTGTTTAGCATAATGCTTACTCCAGCAGGCACGTTTGAATTCTGGAGCCAAACCAAAACTATTCTCTATTTTGGGTTTAATATCTCGATGTAGTCTTAATTTCAAATTTTTTCACAACCCAAGATCGTAAATATTTAGTTAAAGAAGTTGTTTGTGGAAACTTCATTTTGTGACATACATATTCGATTCAGGCACTTCAAAACATTTCGGAGATTTTAGTGTTCCTTTAAAGACAGGGTCTTTCCTACACCTTAGAGGTAACACACAATATTCTAGTTGTTGACAAAATCAGTGCTGATATTTATGCATTCCGACTGCCTTTTCTCGCTCGGATAATTGTCATGTGAAATAATGAACTGTGGGCCTTTTAATGGGTTTTGGGTATTTAGATGATCAATTGCTTTAACATTATTCCTAGCACAAGAATAACAGAATAAATCCCATTTTTACAATATGTCCACAAAACGTATAAATTAATAAATGCTGCTCTCACTACAACAACCCAAAGACGGGATCCAAGTCAGACAGCTGAAGTGTGTGTGTGTGTTTTTTATAGCAACGTGTGACGCATAGGACTTTATATTGCCTCCAGTGTTTGATTGTCTATCTGGACAACGATATCAGAGTTTTTCATATGCTAAAAAGAAAACAAAATTATACCTTTCTGGAAAGACTATTATGGTTAAATGGCGTATTTTTGTCATCTCAGCATTAATTGGGGGCATACATTGCCGTGATTTGTATTAATAATAATAATATTAAAATTCAAATATTTTAATACACAATTTTTCAAACTGTATTACAGTGTACACCGCATATAACTTATGTCGCAGGAGTCGCAAAAATCCGCACTATAAGCGGTACCACGCTATAACCAAAACATCCATTTTTCAGGCCAAAATACATGCCATGAGACAACTTACCTTTGTAAAAGAATTTATTTTATGTTAGATGAAAAATAAAGCTTAGTTTGAGGAAAGTCTTTATTTCACCAGACTAGTACAGTTCTGTCTCAAGTGTGCTACACATTTTGAAAGAAATGAGCGGCTTTTGCCTGGCGCAGCCTTTTAACGGCGTCGCGGGTTGCGGACGGACGTTGCGAGCGTTCAGGATTGCTAACCCTAGTCACTTTTCTCCGGTGATGAAAACGCGTGAAAATTCGCATCCTTCATACGGTACGCGCCAGTAATACCTTCAACTTGAGCACGCACAGGCATGAAATGCGCCAAATAAGAAATCCGGGCGATGTTCGAGGACACAAATGCTTAGAAATCACCACTGTAGTCAAAGTAAACAAACACGACGACACTGGCGTTTCTGCCGTCTTGAGAGCGCCGCCACGACATCGCCGCACGAGTAGGTGGATCTTCCCTTCTAGTACGTGCTGGGTTATCATAGTGACACACAACGAAAATTCACAGTCAAGGATAGCGCTTTTACGCGGAACTATGAGTTCCACCACGCCGTCTACGACGACGATCACAACCCATCACAACCGACGCCATGTTTGCGGATAGAAGAAGCCGAAGCCGGCCCGCGACCGGCATGCAACGCGCGCGAACACTTTTCCTCGACCTGCGATTGGTCTGTCGTTGCGGTTGTTTTCCAACGCAGCGGAGAGACGTACGCACGTGAACGACACGTGCGTGCGTCCCTCCGTTGCTATGGCAACTGAAGCCTCTCTCCTCGCTTCTCCCCGCTTCTTCGAGCAACCTCCTTGGCCCACGAGTGCCGCTTGCGGCTCGCGCCATTATGTAGTGTCGCACAGGGAAGCGTGCTCTCTGCTCTGGTCATTGGCGCGGTCGGCGGGCTGTTCCAGAAACCGCACTATAACCGGTATTTCCCTTCGCGCGCCTGCATTTTAAGCAGTATGTAATTACATGGAGTTCTATGGGAGGCGAACCGGTGGTTTAAAACCGGTCCTGCACTATAAGCGGTTACGTTGTAAGTGGTCTATACTGCACAACTTATTACTTATAATCTAACACAAAAAAGTGACAATCTAAAGTGTGCTAATTATGATCACTGGTGCCAAATGCAGCATTTTTAATTGCCAAGTTATAAAAAAAGAATAGTCTAAAATCAATCAAAACAATCTCGCTAATGCGAGAAATCCATGTAAAATTACATTAATTGTGGGTAAAGCATAATTTGCCATGAAAGTCGCGACTTTTGACAATCGGCAAGAGTTACAAAGTCGCCGCCAAAATCCTTCCAGACTAAATGCATCAAAATAATAAAAAAAAAGAGGCTGCATCTCCACGTGGTGAATGATGTTGATTGGGGCGAAGCTCTGGTGGTGCTGATGATACTGATTTTATTGTTCATAGCTAGTGCTGATGGTGCTGATTTTTTTTATTGCTCATAGGTAGTGCTGAGTTCCGGGTTGCATTTCGACTTCATTATTACTGCTTTATGGTCGGTGAAATGCAGAGCCAGTGGTTCTTCCAGCGGATCAGCTTGGATCCGCTATGGATTGTGGTTACATACGCAGTTGAGCATTTGACCGCAGCGCTCTCTCGTCTATAAACGTTGAGCCAATGCATGCAAAGTTTAACGCGATTATATACACATTTGACTGCAGCACCCTCTTCTGTATAGACGTTGAGCGGCTACATGCAACGTTGGTGTAACGTAGTGGTTAGGACGTCTGCTTCGTTAAGGGGTGTCCAAACAGGACACTACAAAACGCACGACTCCGACAAATCGTGAAAATTGAAGCGGGCGCGAAGCGGGCACGTCCGCTTCCATTTTCACGATTTGTCGGAGTCGCGCCTTTTGTAGTGTCCTATTTGGACACCCCTTAAGCAAGCGGTCCAGAGTTCAAACCCCCGTGCGGGCGTACGTTTTTGTTTTAAAAGTGGGCCGATTTCGGAGGCAGTGCAATCGATGTGAGCACGGATGCCGGACAGATGGACAAGGCTAGACTCTAAGGAGCTTCGCCCCTAAAAAAGTTTTTATTATTATTATTAATCTTTTTTTTAACATTTAGTTACTTTCATTTTTACGTGCCGCCGTTTTATCAATCTCAGCCTCTCCAGTTTGAAGGAACGCCTACCTGCTTGCACGTCTGCTCACTGCAGCACGTTTCGTTGGCGTTGAAAGCCGGTGAAACAGTAGTGAGTTTTAGTATTGCGTATACGAGCAAATGCAAGCAGTGTGTTTGCGTTAGCGCGCGCACGGAGCCCGAAATTGCGGTCTTGGATTGGTGCATGGCGATGAGGCGCACAAACAATGTGGGGCATGCAACTTTAACGCAAACGCAATATTAAAACTCTCTAGTAAGGTACAATCTCATATCGGCTGCAGCACTACGTTGGGACAGTGAAGAGTGTTGTTTGTGTTCGTAAATGACATTTTGTGAGCAGTTCTGCTGTGCCTGCTGAGCAAGAGAACCGGGGGACCCTCACTAAAGCGCTTCCCGTTTCCGCTGGGGGGAGGGCGAGCAACGAGCTGGAGACGCAAATTGCAAATGAAACACAATACTGTTAGCAGATACGCAGCATCAACACTTTTTTGCACTTCAACAGTGGTGGACAGAAAAGTTTGCCCCTCATGTCACTGCCCCATGAGAACACTTTACAATACAGCAGGGTGCTTTCATTTGAAATTGAATGTGTGTCAAAATGGATATTTTGGTTAATTGAAAGAAAAAAAAAAATCCCTATTTTCATAATGAACAAAGCCATTTTTAAAAAGAGTTCAGAAAATTATTTCCCTCCACAAAAACTTTGATGTGGAGCAAAGTGAAATTCTACATTTTGGCTGCTTGATTTTTTTTTACCCAGTTCTGTCGGTTGTTATAAACAAGTAAAAACAAAAACACTCACAGTAATTTATCTTGTATACGTAGGATGCATGGTCTATATTTTAAATTTAAACTTGGCTGCTTCAACATATTTCATGCAAGAAATAAATAAAAAAAATAAAGAAAAAGTCACATTTTGAATGTTTTGGTGACATTTGGAGCCTTGTATCTTGGGATTGTGCTTCAGTCAGTAGACTCCTTTAAAGTACTACCTAGGGAGAGTAGCGCTATCAATCAAGTATAACACCCTCAGGGCCGAACATGCCACAAAGTTGTTTCATAGCCCCCCTCCCTCCTCCCCCCCTCCCCCTCCCCCCTCCCTCCTCCTCCCCTCCCTCCCTCCCCCCCCCCCCCCCCCCCCCCAATATCAGTCACATCAAAAACATTTTTCTTTTTCTCTTTTTGTTAGATGTTTTATGGTGTCTGGGAGATAGTGCAACCAAGTATGGCCATTTTGGATGCGGTGCTCGAGTACCACTAGTGGTGGAGACAGAAACCCTCAAACGGTAATTGACTGCAACATAGAGGTGGCTCACCATTAATTGTTTCTAATTTCAATTAATATAATGCAGATTGTGATTTACCTGTTTCCAAGGCTTCATTGAGAAAAGTTTGGGGAAAATCTAGGGTGATTGTTTTTTTTAGAATTGTCGCTCAAAAATAGCACATTTGAGACTTTTTCAATAATTAGAAAACTTCTAAGCACAATGTAAAAAACACTTACAATAGTTGAGCACCAATTTTTTTAAATTTAAAAGTAAACAAAGCCTTATACATTGTGTACAAAAAATTTTGGCTTAAAAGTTCAATTTTAAGATATGCGTAAATGCCT